TTCATCACGAAGGTTCCATGATGGGAGCAGTGCTGCCACTCTTTACAGCTCAGAAAATCTGCACCCATCCAACTCCCCATATACAATGGCTGCCCTCACATCTTGAGTTTGAAAGAAACTGAAGAACATTCCTTGACCACACAGTTTCGAATCTACCAGTTTTGTTGTTCTTTTATTTTGTCCTGAAGATGCCTTTTCAAATTAGAATGAAAAGAATGTTTTGAAATGTGAGAAAACTCAAATTTCCTATTTAAAGCCTGGAGTTCATTATCAGGAGTATAGTCACTTATTTCAAGGGTCACTGGGTTACACAGAAGAGCCTGTCTGCTACCGGAGTCCCAAACTATTCACCTGAAAACAGTTTAGAAACACTCACGTCCATTAGCTTTCCATGGGACCTAATTCATCTTTGCTGTACTTTGTCTTATGACCCTGTCAAGTCGAGGGCCCTGCTTTATGTACTATTCCTTTTTTCTCTTAACCACTTTTCAGTTAAGTAATTGTCTTGGTTTAATTGGCTGTAATGATTAAAACTTTGTTTATATTACACTGCAATGTTACTTTATCAATGACACGTAGGTTAACTATTTTATTATTTACTGCCCAGTACAGAAATTTTACCTGGAAGAAACAATCTTTAACTCTGGACTTTTTTTTTAATTGAACTATATTTATTTTATATGCATTAAGGCTGAAATATAAATTTTGGCAAATATGAGAAATTGCCTGTTCTTGACATTACAGTTAGACTGGAAATAAAGAGATCTTATAATATTGTAATACTGAGAGATAGAATGTAATGAGTGTGGGTTTCAGAGACTAACAAACCTGGGTTTGGATTTTTCATCTGGTCTTACTAGAACATTTCTAAACCTAAATGGTCTCAGTTGGCTTTTTGTTTTGGGGGGGGCTTGGTATTGGGGGTTTGTTTTGTTTTGTTTTGTTTTGTTTTTGAGAAAGAGAGAGAGAGCATATGAGGGAGAGAGGAAGAGGGAGAGAGAGAGAGAGAGAGAGAGAGAGAGAGAGAATCCCAAGTTGGCTCCAGGCTCTGGGCAGAGCCCGACACGGGGCTTGATCTCACAACCCTGGGATCATGACCTGAGTTGAAATCAAAAGTTGGACACACAGCAGAGCCATCCAGGCATCCCTAAATGGTCTCATTTGTAAAATGAAAATATAACTATCAATCCCATGCAGACTACTTGAAGATCACAGAAGATGGGTACAATATACAATATTGGACCTAATGTTAGCTATTGTTTGTTTTAGCTTTGTCAATAACTAGTTATGCTATCATTTTTTAAAAAGTTTTTTATAGTTTATTTATTTTTGAGACAGAGACAGAGAGACAAAGCATGAGTAGGGGAGGGGCAGACAGAGAGGGAGACACAGTTATCTGAGTTGTCAGCACAGAGCCTAATACGGGGCTTGAACCCATGAACTGTGAGATCATGACCTGAGCTGAAGTCGGACTCTTAACCGGCTCAGCCACTCAGGCACCTCCAGCTATGCTATCTTGAGAGAGTGACTTAATTACTTTGTTTCAGGTTCCTCTGATAAATAAGGACTAGATAATTTCGACTTTTTCTGTTAGGCTAATAAGTAAACCCTTTCTATGGGTTCTCTGTAATTTTACATTAACCAGATTTTTTTCATGTTAACATTTTCCAGGTGAGTAAAGATGACATTGGCTGGAATTTGGACAGTGATGTGAGGATAAGTGACAAAAACAAAATGGTCAGCAAGAAGTGTCTCAGGATGGAATGTTGGGATAAGAACCAGAGCAAAAACAGTCATATGTAGAAGATAAAACCATAGGTGAGTGGTTAAATACTCTGTTTAAAGAACTTGTATTATGATTCCCTATCAGATTTAATGAGTGTTCTTGGAAAAATCACTCGAAAAGTTTAATCAGCCTGCCTAATCTCAGCTTACTCAACTTGCAGCAATGAGAGTACCTGCCACCTACCTAGCTCTGGGAGTTCCCATGAGAAAAACAGGCAACTAAAAACATTAAACGTGGTCATCTTTATATTTGTCAAGTACTTCTGTTTACAACACATTTACACCATCTGTTTATCTGCCTTGGGGGGAAACAATTTTTTTAAATCACCCTTATGCTTTATCTCTCATCAATAATAGTAGGTTTTATTTTTAATTTGTTTTTACTTTGATAGAGCCGTACTATTTTTCTAAATATATTTTGCAAAAGCAACTTTATTAAGACATAAACCATGTTTAATAATTCAAACTCTAAAGACACCAACACAAAGTCTGAAACCTGAGAACATATCCTTTTTTCTTTCCAAATGCAACAAACACCCTTTCCCCTGTTTGTGAGCAAGCGGTCAAGACACATGAGCAATAGAGTTTCAAAACTAAGTGCATATTATACAGATCTTCCCTTATCTGTGATCTGTACCCTAAACTTGGAATAAGTCAACTTAATGTGAAAATCAGCATTGTAAATGGGAGTGGGCATATGGATAACCAGGCTGAAACTAATAGTTTTTTTATAGTAGAACAGCGCATCCTAAACCATCTTCTAATAAGAAACACTAACAATAACAAAGCATTAATGACAACACTAATATCTACCTTCCTTTGAGCTTTTAATAATAGGCCCCATGACTCAGGACTTTATGTGCATTATGCCTTGCCTGGTAGCACATGTCTTATAGAACACTGAGAAAACATGTGCATAAATACAGTTGGATAATTTGAAATTTCATGTAATAGCTTGTGCCCATTTATAATGCTCAGTTAGCTCTATTAACATCCCATACAATCAACCACTCTTTAGACAACTAAAGGTATCAAAGCTTGACAGACTTTAGAAAGCTGTCCCATTTTCCTCCAAGCACGGATTATGACATTTCATAAAATTCCTCATTCTAACTTGAGATCCTCATCACATCACAAGACTTCTTCCACGGTAGCTTTTATCAATTACCCGCAAGGTAGCCTTAGGGATCCTTCGCCACTGCTACTGCAACTCATTCTATTCCCTTCCCAGCTTCATTCTTCCAACAGTACAAAGCCAATTCCAAGCAAGAAAGAACAAAAGAACAAAACAGAGACATTGGTTATCTTCTCCAATTCTAGTGCAGTAACCGTAGCGGTCAGTCCTAAGGAAGGAAGAAATTATATCATTTCCTTCTAATGCAGATACATTACACACTTATTTCTATTTGTACTTTTATTTATTATTCTTACATGAATCGGAAAACCAGGACAAGTAGGAAATAACAAAAGGCAATGAAAGCCACAGGGAAACTCTCAAATTCTCCTTTAACCTCCTCTATCAACAGGCACCCTTCTACACTCTTGGTGGGAATGTAAACTAGTGCAGCCCCTCTGGAAAACAGTGTGGAGGTTCCTCAAAAAATTAACAACAGAACTGCCCTATGACCCAGCAATAGCACTGCTAGGAATTTACCCAAGGGACACAGGAGTGCTGATGCCTAGGGGCACATGTACCCCAATGTTCATAGCAGCACTCTCCACAATAGCCAAAACATGGAAAGAGCCTAAGTGTCCATCAACTGACGAATGGATCAGGAAGATGTGGTTTATCTATATGATGGAATACTACATGGCAATGAGAAAAAATGAAATCTGGCCATTTGTAGCAACATGGATGGACCTTGAGGGTGTTATGCTGAGCGAAATAAGTCAGACAGAGAAGGACAAATAACATATGTTTGCACGTATAGGAGGATTAGGAGGAACTTAATGAAGGACAATGGGGGAGAAGAAGGTGAAAACTAGTGGGGGAGAGGGAAGGAGGCAACCCATGAGAGACTCTTGAATGCTGAGAACAAACTGAGGGCTGATGGGGGTGGAGGAGAAGGGAAGGGGGATGATGGGCATGGAGGAGGGCACTTGTTGGGATGAGCACTGGGTGTTGTATGGAAACCAACTTGACAATAATCTACTTAAGAAAAATAAATAAATAAATAAAAACCTCCTCTCTCAAAGGAGGGTATAAAGTTAATTTAAACTCTTAGTTTATGTCCTGGGAAGAGGAATAACCTAGTATGCTGGGACAACAACGGGCAATTGAAATAATCTTGAACTTTTTTCTAAGTACTTCTTTTCTTTTTTTTTTTTTAATTTTTTTTTTTTTTATTTATTTCTAGGAGGGAGAGAGAGAGACGCTCTTCCGATCTTGAAACAGGCTCCAGGCTCTGAGCTGACAGTCAGCACAGAGCCCAACACGGGGCTCGAACCCATGAACCGCGAGATCATGACCTAAGCGAAAGTCGGATGCTTAACCGACTAAGCCACCCAAGCGCCCCTCTAGGTACTTATTTTCTTTAGGTTTCTCAGAACTCGGGATTGTGTGAATTTGGCTAAAGAATAGCAAGGAAAGAAGCCCATTACCTTATGTCACTAGGTTTTTAATACCGATGGCTAGAGAACACTTCAGAAGAAAAAGGCAGGTATCTTACTAACAAGTGACAAAAAGAAAACCAAACAATGATTAGAGATGGAGGAGATGGTAGTGTTACCTTATCCAAGAAAAGTGTCAACGGCCACCCCCTGAGGCATTTCTAAATCAAGGAGAAAGTGTCAGAATTTCAACAAAGTACCGAAGATGAGGAACACAAAATGAATCTCTAGTCAAAGGTAAAAGACAATGAGAGGAGCTGGACAAGAGAAGTCTCCAGTTAGTGGTTGATATCCAGAAAGATTAATCAAAATGACGAGATGGTATGACCTCCATCCTCAGAGAAGGTAGTGAGAACTAAGCTAACTAAAAACATGAGTGACATCTACATGAATTTTGGGAACCACTGCTCCAGAGCGAATCCCACTTCAGCCTAATGGGAGGAAGTAGGAAACAATGCCACTACTGGATAAAGTGTTAAAAAGCTTCAAAGTTACTTTTCTTTTACCACTTCCTCAGGCTTAAGGGTCTCAGCAAAAAAGCAGAGCCAAAAAGTTTATCTTTGATAAACAAGAATCAACCAACAGGAACAACAACACGGGGAAAATTACAAAACTATTACACAGGGAGAAGCCATCTTGGCATCAACGTGCTTCAGGCTTTCATGAGGCTGCACCCTGTTTCTGCCCAGACCCCTCAGCAGGGCAGGTCTTAGAGCCTTAGCATCACCTCTTGCCTCAGCCTGTTCCATGTCCTCTCTTCTGGGGGCCTTCCACTTCCTAGACCTCGAGAAGGTCTGACAGACACAGCTTAGGAAGCGACCAAAGCAGAGTGGTGGTGATGCCAAGGATGTTACTACACGAGAAGACAGCCCCGGCTCCTGGAACACTGAGCGATCACAGGGCTCGATCTGACGCTCCTGATGCATCGCACAGGCACCCTCATCCTGCTGACTCAGTAACCTGTCCTGCAAGTAGGAGAAGTTAAAGCCCTCAGGGCCAACACACATATGCAGAAAGGGCATCACCCTCTGAGCCAGTTCTTTCATGCTTCATCTGGGCCCAGGGATCCCAGATTGCTCCCCTAGCTCCTCATTCCCCACCTACTCCCACTCCAGGTAAAGGGCTGTCATTATTTTTCCTAGGAAAATGCACCACGCCCAGACTTCACCACCCCATGCCTCATCCCTACCTCACTAGGAAGGTCACGATCATCTTCCTGGGCACTGAATACAGCCAGCTTTGTGTCTACCACTTCATCCTCTTCACTTTGTGGTGGCACAAAAGATGTTGGAAGGATGGGGGGGGGGGCGGTTAAAGGTCTCCACTTTCTCCTTCCTCTTGCCCTTCCTTATTCTCTGTCCTCATAGCCTTCCTAAGACGTCTATGCTTTTTTGGAAGTGGATCTATCTTTCTCATCTGGACTGGAGGCATGACAGGATCTTGTAAGATTTCACCCACATGACTCTCAGGTGTTCCTTCCAATGGCTCTGATGATGATTCCAAAGTTCTCTTCAGAGGGCCATTCTCCCAAAGGTGGAAGCTATCCTTTGTATCTTGAGTATCTGGTGATATGTTCAAGTCATCAGTGACATGTTCTGGGACGGAGATTGGAGATTCCCAATCTCTTTCCTTGAGGGTTTTGTTGTTGTTGTTGTTGTTGTTGTTTTGTTTTTTTGACTCACTACATTGACCCCAGCCAGCTTTGCAGGAACAAAAAGCTCACAACAAAAGGACCAAGAGTCACATGCAAGAGGAAGTAGTTAGTACCCTGACCCTTTCCAATAATGAATCTTCAACTATCACAGACACAACAGCTATATTGATCTCGGACTTCCCCTCTAGATTTATCTAAGGAATTCAATGGCTTTCAAAGATAGTCCTCAGTTTGTTCTTCCCGGCCTGGGAGATCACAGATTTCCTAAAAGGAGAGAGAAAAGCACTGAAGTAACGGCTCCATGGACAGCGGAGTCCCTCCTAGTCACACAAAATCTATGGTTTAATAAGACTCTGCCAAATCTAGCATGAATTCCTCTACAGAAACAGTATTTAGCAACTTAACCAAATTTCCAAAGCGGTATTTTTAAAAGTAAGAAAATTCTCCATGTATATCAGAATCACCAGGGGTGCTCTTTGAAAAAGCAGATTTCTGGGATGTCTCCCAGACCTACCATCAGAACCTCTAATGCTCCATTGCAGGAATTTGCATTTTCCCCAGTAACCTACACTCTGAAATCTGCACTCTAAAATCTGAAAACTACTACTTTGGAAGGACAATTGATCCAATATTTATGGGACCATGGAGATAACTATTCTTCAAAACATCCCACTTTCTCCTATAGGTTTTCCCTAATCATCTCACCCCATAATCATCTCTCTCCTTTGAGCTCATTTAATCATCATCACTCATTTTGGCATGTTACCCTTTACTACCTTCTATCATAACGTAACTTCTAAACCTTGTAGTAACTATATCTTCTAACCAGATCATAAGCTTCTCAAGGGCAGAGACTCTTAGACTTCTTAGTTTTCTACAGGGGCTTGCCAGTATTAGGGCTTCAAAAATTGAATAAGTGAAATAAATGTGAATAGGTTTATATCCCAGCATATAAAGATTGATGCGATGCTGCTCTGTAGGAAGAATGATAGAGCAACAGAATGCTAAAAAGGACATAGGCCTTGGGGACAACCTAATCCAATTCCCCAAAATTACAGATGGGGAAGCTAAGGTTCAAGTAAAATAATGACCTGCCTAAAGCTGAGGGTGACAGATTTTTTCTATAAAGGGCCACATTGTACACATTTTAAGCTCTGTGGCCTTACAGTCCTGTCGTGAATATTCATCTCTGCATTGTAGCTCAAAGGAATCCACGAACAAATAAACATGGCTGTGCTCCAATAAAACTTTATTTACAAAAAGAGGTGGTAGGTCAGATTTAGCAGCAGGCTATATATAGTATGCCAACCCCCAGCTAAAGTCATATAACTAGTCAACGGCATAGCTAGGGTTAGAAATCAAGTCACTTAATTCCTAGCAAATGCTCTTTCCATGGAGGAGTAGAGAACTCTAGAATGAGAAACAGCTTTTTCAATTAAAAGAAGGGCTTTAAAGGAGGAAGGGATCAAAATATGTCTGGGCATGTTGTACTTCTAAGATGGTTTCTGATGACCCTTAGTCATTTACACAAACAACTGGGAGCTGAACTCTGAAACTGGCTAATTTCAAGCAGACCCATCAACTGGGAATGGGATGGAGCAGACTGAATATTTTCTATCCCACCTGCCTAGGAAAGCATACAATTTGGTCCCTTTTTTACTGAGGAGAAAATCCTATAGATAGGTAATGGAAAATACTTTCATTATTCATTTCTTGAACGTATTGTGGCCTCATGAATACAGTTCTGCAGTGCACAGTCCAGTGACTAAAAGTTTCAAGTAATTACCAGAGGAACACGGGGACAGAGATAGGATACGTTATCTAAGAAGCTAAACCCTCACTTCCTAATCCAAGATGCACTTTAATAATGAAAGTGACCCTAGTATTAAAGATTAAGTAACCAAAGCCTTGAGGTTATTTCATATTCTGGGATTTCTGAGAACTGTGAGGTCCATCCAGAACTATCTGTTCTATTTTTACTTCCACCCCTAATGTGTTCCTCACGCCATTACTTTGCCTCCACAAAGTAGATGATTAACAAATATTTGTTGACTGACAGATTAATAGATGGTTGAGTAAATAAATGAATGAAAAAACTAAATGCTATTAGAAGGTGCCTTGGTTTGTAAAAATAAACCAGCATTGGCACGTTCAGCAAGAAGAAGTCTAATACTTGTTTAAGTCACCCCTCAGTTAAACTAATAGTGCCTTCACATAGTAAATGTCAATAAAAGTTTCATGAATGAATTAAGGCATTTGATGTAAGCCACTTAAATTAAATGTCAAAGTACAAAATCATACTGCTTGTCCCAAAAAAAATGGTATCCAAGTGCAGAATTTATTTACTAATACATTAGCATGGAATTTTTTTGTAATAAGCTTTAGTTCCATACTGTTAGGGGAGCTTGGTAAAATCTTTGAGAGAAGAAAGCTGCTGGTAATAAACAAGAGAACTCAGGCTCAGGTTTAATCCACACCCTCTGTCAGAAACAACCATGCAGGGGCGCCTGGGTGGCTTAGTCGGTTAAGCGTCCGACTTTCGCTTGGGTCATGATCTCGCGGTTTGTGGGTTCGAGCCCCGCGTCGGGCTCTGTGCTGACTGCCAGCTCAGAGCCTGGAGCCTGTTTCAGAGTCTGTGACTCCCTCTCTCTCTGACCCTCCCCTGCTCACGCTGTCTCTCTCTCTCTCCTAGAAATAAATACAACATTAAAAAAAAAAAGAAAAGAAGCAACCATGCAGGCAGCATCTACAGAAGCAGTGGCCCTAGATGCCACCCCACCCGACGCCTGAAGAAGTGGGGCTAGGACTGTAAAAGAGAAGTCAGCTGCACAAACTCAAGCTTCTAAAGGTCAACCTGGCTTCTTCATCACCTTTGCAATGGTCATGGGTCAGGTCTTCATCATGCCTCTATCGTATTTTGACAAGGCTCTACTCCCTCTAACCCATCCTCCACGAAGGGGCTAAAATGATCTTTCTAAAACAAACCTTACCTGTCATGCTCCTACTTAAAGCTGCACTCCCTAGTCCCCCAGCAAGATGCTGGTCCTTGGTGATCTGGCTCCATTTCCTCTGTCCCACTTCACGTCTACCACTCACAGACCACTTGCCATTTCTTGAAGGCATCAGACTTTCTCAAACACTCTTCATTTTGCCTCCAATGCCCCTTCCCCTCTTCACTACCTGGCCTAGCTATAAGTATTACCTCCAGACTTAGCTGACTTCCTCAAGCAGAAGGAAAAGAAAATTAATTCAATTTAAGTAACAATTCTATACCTACAAAAATTACCCCATCAAACTGTAAGCTGTTTAGATATCTGTGTCCTTCACTGGACTTGGTGCTCCCTGAACACAGAAATTCTTGTTTCTAACGTGATTCCTAGTGTCTCTGTGGTGCCTGGGGCCTGGAAGGTAGTCAGAGTTTGTGGACTTCAGAATGCAGTTGTTTGGTCTGCTTCCCAGAGCAGGGGTTCTAGATGCCAATTCACCCCACCCCTGTCTCTGAATGAAAAGCACACTGGAGTTTGGGAGACAAAATTAAGAAGCTACGGCCAGGGCTCAGAGCGAATAAATCCAGTTACCAATTCAAAGTCTGAGACAGAAGTAGCAGGTTTCACTCAGGAAAGAAAGAGCTGCTCAGGCAATGGTTAGCACCACCCAGCACAATTCTAGAAGCATTCTCCCACCCACATCACCATGAGAATTAGAAGGAAAGCTAGCAAAGGAGGTCCTACTCAGATCCCTGGCTCCCTGCAAGAACACTTTCCTCCAGCCTACACCACACTTCTCTGTCTTGCTGGTATACTTTCTTCACTCCTCACCCATCCCTACTTCCCCCACCAACCCCCGCTCCATGAGGAGCCTCCCCAAACTCTAAGCGATGCCTGCATCATAAGTTTTTACCCACAATCAGCATTCTCATTCCCATAGGACATACACCCAACTCCAGGCCTTGACTCTTTCTTTAAGTGTCCCTACCTGGGGAACCTGCCCCCAGGGCTAGATGTGCTCACAAGCAGGGATGTTGTTCAACCCACAAAAGTCAATGACCTGCCAAGAGGTAAGAGATTTATACCACATTCATATCACTGCATCTGGGGCCCATGATCCCCTAGATTTCCCACATCAGAAATTATTGGGTATATAATACAAGTGAATTCACATGTTTCACTCTGAGTCCCTCTGTCTCCATAAACCTGTTGCACTTCAGCTTTCTTTGTGATTGATTTTTTCCCCCATTTTCACATAGTACTTGAAGCAAAGTTGAGAGTATTAAAGCCCTTCGATGAATTTGCTGCCTAAGCAGACTTGAAACCAACTTAGAAGTCCTAAAACAACACACTCTTGGCCACTGAACTTCGGGCTGGTTCTGCAGAGGAGGCTGGAGAAAAATCTCACTAATCACCATTGACAGTGAACTGACTGGCCTTCTTTAAAAATGGGAAAGAAATGATTGGCACAAACCAACTTGGCTTCTCAGTGACTCCCTAGAGAATTAGACAACGGAAGCCTCAGACAACAATTTTCTTTGAAGATGACCTTTCATATTAAATGAAAAGCTGAAGAGCTAGTCTCAAAGGGAAAGAAAATGAATAATCTGTAGGAGCAAGTGATCCTTCCTGACTATACAATAACAAAGAGATGAAAATATGATGGTAAACATTGCAGAATGTTGCATGACCATTTAAGTGTGTTTTCATTTTCACGGTAACATTTATTGAGAGCCTACTATGAATCTGATAGTAGGAAACCTGCTCTTTGATTTAAAAAAAATCAAAAA